CGTGATCTCGGCTCACCGCAACCTCCGTCTCCTGGGTTCAGGCAATTCTCCTGCCTCAGCCTCCTGAGTAGCTGGGATTACAGGCACGCGCCACAATGCCCAGCTAATTTTTTTGTAGTTTTTAGTAGAGACGGGGTTTCACCATGTTGACCAGGATGGTCTCGATCTCTTGACCTCGTGATCCACCCGCCTCGGCCTCCCAAAGTGCTGGGATTACAGGCTTAAGCCACCGCGCCCGGCCCTCTTTCATCTTCTTAAAGGATCTAACATGTTAGTATTAGATATCTAGCCACCACTTAACCTGGAAAATGTATTAATATTTCATTTTTCTATCTAAGGAAGTGAGGTCTATAAGGAATGATAAGAGGTAGCTAAGCAGTTCTATGCCATTAATCCAGGAATCTTAGCTTTAGTGTTTCTCAACACTTAGTATCCCAACCTGCATTTTTCCCCCTGGATTTTGGAGCAGGAGGTTTCTAACCACCTTCTCTTTAAAGAACGGTAATTTCCCAAAACGGGGCTTCTATTTAAAGTATGATAATTTCCAAAAACAGGGCTGAAAAAGAGGGCCCCTTCTTCTTCTTGGTGATTTAGATGAATAGCTAGATGAAAGTTTACCAAGGACATAAAGTTTGAGTGGTTAGGAATTTTTGAAGACTGCCTACTCCCCACCTCCCTTATTTTACAGACATGAAGACTCCAGCTTGAATGATGAAGACATTTGTCCAAGGGCCCACACAGTGTGTCGATATTACAGACTTAGTTTTAGAACCCTAGTTTCCTGAGCCCCTGACCTACGTTCCTTCCATGAAACTGAAATCCCAAGCTCAGGTGGGTGTATACAGGACGCCAAGCCCCGGTGGTCCTGGTCTGTCCCGCAGACCAGGATGGGGGGCCGACGGTCGCACGGGACCAAAACTAAGTATCCAGACGCGCTCTTGCCACGGCGCCGGCCTCTGGAAGGCCGCAGTGGCCCAGCCGGCCTGGGGACTCTCGAGGCGCCGACAAGGGACGCAAACATCCTACCCTCGCCAACGTGGCGAGCAGCGGGGTCGCAGGCTACGCCCGCTGGTCCCCAAAGCGCACCGCGGCGCCCTCTACAGGCTGAAGACCCCTCGGGAATCTTGGAGACTCACTGCGCGGACAGGTCGAAGCGGACATCTCGGTCCTCCCAAAGCGCATCCAGCACCGACATGTTGAAGAAAGCCCGCGGCTGGCCCTCTCCACAGAGGTGGAGGCCCAGCCGCGTCTCGCTGGCTCCAAGGCAACGGGCCGCCTCCGTCGCGACGTCTACGGCGGGCGCCGAGACTCAAGCTTCCGCGAGAGTGCGCGCGCGTCACCCAGCTGGTTCGCATTGTTAAGCCGATTAGAGATGCGAGGCAGGATCTAGGAGTCTCGGAGAAGCCCAGCTGTCTCCGCCGCGGGGGAGCGTGCCTGACCTCTGGGCGACCTTCCTCGCCTCCAAACAGACATCCTTTAGCCGTTTTACCCCTCTCTGTATTTCTCTTCACCGTAAAGAGATTTAGATTTAAAGCTGGGCATGGTGGCTTCCGCCTGTAATCCCAGCACTTTGGGAGGCCGAGGCTGGATAATCACTTGAGACCAAGAATTCGAGACTAACCTGGGTAACATAGCGAAACTTCATTTCTACACAAACCTCAAAATTGCCAGGGATGGTGGTGCACACCTGTAGTCCCAACTACTGTACTTCGGTCGCTGAGGCGGAAGGATCTCGAGCCCAAGGCTGTGGGGAGCTATGATTGTGCCTCTGCCCTCCAGCCTAGGCGACAGAGATATAGGACCAACAGGTTCATATGCCTTCCGTGAGGTAACAAATCCATTACACGAAGACAGGAGAGTTTGCAGCAGGGAAAGAGTGTAATGATTGCAGGGTATCTAGCAAAGAGATGGGAAAAGACCTTAAAATCCATCTTCCGAATAGTTCTGGGCTGAGGTTTTTACAAGGATCACAGAGGGTGAGGGGCTGGAAAATTGGGGTCGTTGATTGGTCAGAGTAAGGGAGATGAAATCTTCAGGATAGGGAAACTTCATTCTTTGCTGACTTAGTTTCTCATGGGGTTCCTCAGACCAGCTGGGCAGTAGTTTCATTGGTATCCAGGATCTGAAAGACTGTCTCAAAGGGAAAACTTAATATTTCATAATGTTCAAGTTGTTCTCTCTAGAGCAATGGAAGAGAACTATAATCTCGTTGACAGGACAATAGGCCCCAAACAACTGTGAGGAAGCAGGTCAGAGAGGAAGCTGACCTCATGATTAATGCCAAATTGGCTGCAAGCTTGGTTATTTTTTTCCCCCCCCCCCCCCCGCAACCAATTTCTTTCCTGATTAATTTTATAAAGTTTATAGGAATGGTTTGGACTTAAAACTTCAAATTCCTTACCTGGGCCTAGCTCAGTCTGGCCCTGCCCACCTCTGTGACCTCAAATCACCCTCACTTCTGGCTGTTCTTTTGCCAGACTGGGCTCAGAGATTTCGGAGGGCACTCTGCCTGGAACACTGTTTCCCCAGACCTCTGCAAAAGCCTGCCCTTTGTCACTTAAATCTCAGCTTGGGCTGGGCACAGCTCATGTCTGTAATCCTAGCATTTTGGGAGGCCGAGGTGGGTGGATCATCTGAGGTCAGGAGTTCGAGACCAGCCTGGCCAACGTGGTGAAACCCTATCTTTACTAAAAATACAAAAAATTAGCCGGACATGGTGGCAGACACCTATAATCCCAACTCCTCAGGAGCCTGAGGCAGGAGAATCACTTGAGCCCAGGAGGCAGAGTTTGCAGTAAGCCAAGATCACACCACTGCACTTCAGCCTGGGCAACAAGAGCAAAACTCCATTAAAAAAAAAAAAAAAAAAAAAAAAAAAAACTCAGCTCAAATGTGAACTCCAGCTGTTCCTAATCCTTCTACCCCACCTGCTGTGAACAACCTGAGGACAGACACCTGATCTATCAGTTGACCGCTTTGAAAAATGCCTAGCACAGAGTAGGACCCAGTAAATACTTCTTGAATGAATCAAAGTCCCTTTTCTCAAGCATGACAATTCTTTAAATTAGTGGTTCACAAAGACTGATCTGGATCACTTCAGGGGGCCCATAAGGTCAAATTATATTCATAATAATGTGAAGACATTATTTGCCTTTTTAAACTATCATTCTTATATAGTGGAGTTTTCCAGAGTCTATATGATTTGTTGTTTTTTTTTTTAACAGGATCTCACTCTGTCACCCAGGCTGGAATGCAGTGGCATGATCATAGCTCACTGTAATCTCAAGCTTCTGGTCTTAGGTGATACTCCCGCCTCAGTTTCCCAAGTAGCTGGGACTACAGGTGTAGTCCTGGCTAATTTTATTTTATTATATTTGTAGAGACAGGGTCTCCCTGTGTTTCCCTGGCTGGTCTCAAACTCCTAGCCTCAAATGATCCTCCTGCCTTAGCCTTCCAAAACACTGGGATTATAGGCATGACCCACCATACCCAGCCATGATGATTGAATGTGGAAGCACTTATGAGAATCCCGTTGCCTTTTATTAAACCAGGCATTTAAAAATTGCAAAAATGTAAAGCAATGTTCTCACAAATTTTCTGGAAAATATATTTTTTAAATGCTATACATGCTAATATGTAATAAGCTATTGTTACCTTTGAATGAGTTTTAAAACCCTCAGTATTAATATATATAACATATGTAAATAAAAGCTCTTCTAGGTTCTCAATAATGTTTTTAAGAGGATAATGGGGTCCCAAGACCAAAAGTTTGATAACTGTAGCTTTGAATTATTATTTAGAGCTCCTATGTGTCAGTCTGTATGCCAAATACTAGGGATGCTAATGTGAAAGGCCATGAGGTGTTTTTCTCAGATTGAAGAAGGTAATGGAGACAAAAGAGCATGAGTGTACATATATTAAGGGGGACTCCAATGAGTCATGCCCTTGTATAATCTCCTCCCCATGAGTGTGGTTGGGACCTGTGAATTTGCTTCTAGCCAATAGAATATAGCAAAGGTGATGAAATGTCATTCCTATGACTGTTATGCTATAAAAGACTTAGTCCCAGCCAACTGGAGTGAGAAAGACCCTCCTGCTTGCCTTGAAGAAGCCAGCTGCTAGGCTGGGCTCGGTGGCCCATGCCTGTAATCCCAGCACTTTGGGAGGACAAGGTGGGTGGATCACCTCAGGTCAGGAGTTTGAGACCATCCTGGCCAACATGGTGAAACCCTGTCTCTACTAAAGATACAAAAATTAGTCAGGCATGGTGTCAGGCACCTGTAATCCCAGCTACTTGAGAGGCTGAAACAGGAGAATTGCTTGAACCCGGGAGGTGGAGGTCGCAGTGAGCAGAGATCGCACATTGCACTCCAGCCTGGGTGACAAGGGTGAAACTCTGTCTAAAAAAAAAAAAAAGGAAGCCAGCTGCTATGATAAGAATTAGTACCATAGCCCTTCATCTTCTAGGTGCAAAGAACTGAAATTTGTCAACAATCTGAATGAGCTTGGAAGTGGATCTTTCTCAGGTTGAGCTTCTGATGAGGCTAAAGTCTGAGGAAATACCTGGATTGCAGCCTGGTAAGACCCTGAAGTGGAGAACACAGGTAAGCTGTGCCTGTACTTCTGGCCTACAGAAATGATAATAACTGTCTTGTTTTAGTTGCTAAGTTTGCGGTAATTTATTATGGAGCAATAAAACACTAATACAAATGTGGGCCAGATGCAGTGGTGTGCACCCGTAGTCCCAGTTACTTGGGAGGCTGAGTCAGGAGGATCACTTGAGCCCAGGAGTTTGAGGCTGCAGTCAGCTATTGATTGCGCTACCACAATCCAGCCTGGGTGACAGAGAGAGACTGTGTCTTTGGGGAGGAAAAATCGTAGAATTGGCTTTGGAATTAGTGAGCAACCAGGAGCTTTTAGAGCTAGCAAAATCATATTGGTAGGAAGCAGGCTGATAAAATTAATCAAACATGTGCTACCTTCCATGAAAAAGCAAGGATGACTCACAATGGAACCAAGAGCCCAAAGTGTAGGTTGAAAGTCAAGGAAGATTATTCCCAGATCTTAAAACTTCATCAATAAAATCCAACATTTGTCCAGGTGACGTTAGAATTGTTATACACCAGTGACTCATTGATACCTTCCATTTCCTTTCCTCATTTTTGTATTGGTATGGCTGTAACTGTTATCCTATGTCAGTCCCACCATTGTGTGATGGAGTGTTGGGAGCAGACTTGTCTCTAGTTTCACAAGTCCACAGAAAGGAATTGTGCTTTGAAGAACTGAGCTTAATCGATTACACCTAGGCTCATCTGCACCAGATACAGATAATTCAGATGATGAGCGTTTGGACTTTGAGCGCATGCTGTAAGAAGATGGGGGAAACCTTGGTAGGGAGGAAGTCTTTTTCCCCTTTGGAAGTAACACAAATTGTTGGAGGCCAAAAGGGCTACTGTGGTAGGCAGAATTCTAAATGACCCCTAAGATTCTTGCTTTCCTGGTGTACATGCTTTATATAATCCTTCTTTCTTGAGTGCAGAAGAATCTGTGAATATGATAGGATATGAGTCCTGTGATTAGGTTATGTTATATGCCAAAGGTGAAGTAGTTTTGGAGATGTGATTAACGTCCTTTAAAGTAATCAAAAGACAGATTATCCTTGCTTGCCTGATCTTATCAGGTGAGCCTTTAAAGGAGAGTCTCCTGCTGGCTTTGATGAAATAGAAGCCATGTTGTGAGAGAGCCACATGGCTAGGAACTGAGAGTGGTCTCTAGGCACTGAGAGACAGCAAGAAAACAGAAACTCCAGTTATTTACCCACAAAGAACTGAATTCTGCCAGCAACCTGAATGGGTTTGATGAGATATTCTTGGCTGAATCTTTACTTTGGGTGAGACCTTGAGCAGAGACCCAGTCTGCATTCCTGACCACAAAAACTGTGAGGTGAGGCTGGGCATGGTGGCTCAAGCCTGTAATCCTAGCACTTTGGGAGGCTGAGGTGGGTGGATCACGAGGTCAAGAGATCGAGACCATCCTGGCCAACATGGTGAAACCCTGTCTCTACTAAAAATACAAAAAAAATTAACTGGGCGTGGTGGCATGCGCCTGTAGTCCCAGCTACTTAGGAGGCTGAGACAGGAGAATTGCTTGAACCCGGAAGGCAGAGGTTACAGTGAGCCGAGACCACGCCACCAGCCTGGAGCCTGGTGATGGAGCGAGACTCTGTCTCAAAACAAAACTGTGAGGTGATATATTTGTGGGTTTTAAACTTCTAAGATCGTAATAATTTACTGTGCAGCAACGTTAATATACTGGCATCACAGTGGAAGCTTTGAAATGACTGGGGGAAGACAATGACAACCTGTTATTCATCAATATGCATATAACTGACATTCACATACTTTTAAAATTAATATACTTGGATGGGTGAGGTGGCTCACACCTGTAATTCCAGCACTTTGGGAGGCTGAGGTGAGCAGATCACTTGAGGCCAGGAGTTCAAGACCAGCCTGGCCAACATGG